CGGGCTGAAGCTAACCCTCTGGACCCGCAGCTCTGGTATGGCCAGGCTTTGCTGGCAGGGCAGATGGGGCCAGTACTGTCCCTGATTTGACCAGGAAGAGGAATGAGAAGCCAGGGCTGGGTATCAGCCCGTGTCTGCCCTGATCTCTCACCAGTTCCTTGCTGGGGTCTGAGGGGAAAGTCACAAAAGCAAGGCAGTGCTGGGCTGTGGCAGAGGCAACTGGGGGGCAGCATTAGGGAAGGGGTCTTCTAACCAGGAGCAGCTGAAGCACAAAGACACCCACCAAGGGGCAGGTACACCTGCTGGGTCCTGGCCCTTCACTGCCCAGATGGTAGTGTTATAGTTAAGGGAAGAGCTCTGCAGCCAGACTCCCTAGGTTCAAAGCCCAGCTCTACTGTTTTCGGGCTCTGTGCCCATGATTTACTTAACCTGTTTTCGATAGCATAGGCTGTGAAGGTTAACTGTTAATACATGTAAAGCACATGGCATGAACCCTGCCTATAGCAAATGCTTAATATTAGATATTATTATTGTTAAAATGATTGGTTACACCCATTGGAGCCTGCCAGCACAGGTGGAGAGGACCTGGAAGGGCCACTGAGGACAGCCACTCACAACTGTGCTCTACACAACCCAGGCACCACTGCGTAGTAGCCTGACGTGGCACCTTCTGGATAATGCAGCACACAACGCGTGTGGCTGGAACACTGGCCTTGGACGCCCTGGCAGCCTACTCCAGTTCTTACGGTTTCTTAGTCATAGATGGAGAAATACCTACTCTGATTTCTCACTCTGGCCCTGGGATCATTTGGAGGGAGGTCTTAGAGAAGATTAACAACAGGTACTGTGGCTTTTGAGTAGAGTTACAATGATCTGCACTCTCTGCCCAAAGAAGGTGCAGCTCAGCCTTTGAAAAGGCCGCAGGGTTGCAAGTATGGAACCAGGACTTGGGCTAAGACTCTCCTCTCTGGGCTCAAGTGTTCCCCATGTGTCCTATGTGAGGGCAAGTTTCAGGATGGCAAATAGGCTTCATCCTGATTAGTCAATTAGGCCGCCTCTGATTGGCAGTGGTTATCTGATGCCCTGTAAAGTGAGACTCAGGGGCCACTCTGAGATGGGTAGGAGGGGCTTTTTCGATTAGTGATGTCTGCCTCTTTAGGGAGCAGGGAGCCATGGCGTGCTGGTTGGCACATTTGCCTCCCACAGACTAGCCCAGTGACTCCCAATCAAGACCCTGAGAAATCACTGACCCCAGAGGTATGGCCTGGCATGGGTATCTTTTCCCCCTAAGGTGCAGCTGGATTGAGATTGCAGGGGGAGAAGACTCTAAGTTCCTTGCAGTCCTGAGCTTCCTTGACCTCTTTGATCCTATGGCTCCACGTGTGTCCTCACTAACCTTGAGGTCCTCTATTTTACATCTTCTGGACATGGTCTACAGTCAGGGTTCGAGTGACCTAGGTGACCTCTTCTTGGGACATACAGAGTCTCCCTGGGGGGAGGCCTGGGTTTTGCATGTGAGGGGCTTGGAGAAGCCTGGCCGACCCTGGCTGTCTCTAAGTCTCTCTTAAACTTTGCTCAGTGACCGGGGAGTGGGGACTCAGGATTAGACAGAGGTCCACTGAGGTCTGCCGGAAGGGACATGCCCCAAAGGCACAGGCTCTACCGCTGGGCCTTGGAAGGAGCACTGTGGGGAGAAGGGAGCAGATGAAAGCTGGTTGGGGCGGGGGGCGCTGCTGAGCTCTAAACGCAGGGTGCCAGGTGTGGAGATGGTGTGTTAGGACCACGGGGCAGCCCTGGGCGCCCACGGTGCCTCCAAGTTACAGGCAGGGCAGTTAAGATGAGATATTGCTGAAACCACTGGCTGGCCCCCCATGGGCCCAGAATACAGCCAGCTTTCCTCGGCCCTTCCCATCACCCCGAGGACCCGGCCCTGGGAGTCCGAGAAGCAGGTCAGGGCAGGGGCTTGCCTCCCAGTGGGGCAGAGCCTCCCCCCACCCGGAGCAAAGCAGAAGCAATCAAATGACATAGAATTCAATAATATTTTAAAATAAGCTTTATTTAGATTTTTTTTTTAATATTTTATATTTGCATCCATGCCTTCGAGAAACCTTTCCCACGGGAAAGGTTATTTTCATCTAATGTTATCCATAACTCATTCGCTATTTGACGTAGTTCTCTTAAATAAATCGTCCTTAGTAACTCTTAGAATTATATCCTAATTTACAAAAACTGAAATGAAAAGGAACTACTAAATCATTATCAGGAGTGGTTGTAATCTTATTTTCTTGTAAGTAAAGGGAAAATAAAAATTAAATAAAAAAAAATTCATGGGGGAGAAAAGTATTCTCTAAAATATTTCTCTCTAGAGAGATGCCAGCTGCAGCCTCTCTCCCTCACTACCACGCTCAGGTAACAGCTTGGCCAGAGGAGGACAGAGAGGCCTTTTGGGGTACCCCACCTGCCCCTTCCCAAACTGGAAAGGGAGCAGCAGACTGGGGCTTTTCTGTTTGTTTTAAAGACTTTGGACAAAATATCCTATTCATTCTGCTAGGGATGCTCCAGCATTTACAAATCTTGCTTCTTTTTAAGAGCTAAAAATGTTACTGTTAGCAGAAAGCGCAACTACTGTTACCTAGAAGTGTAGCTTGAGCTGTTAGTTGTTAGGGATGAGCAGGAGGGGGTTCCAGGGTGAAAGAAAACGGAGACCGCGCTTTAAAATTGGGTGGACCTGGCTGAGCTCACGTTTCTCCATCCCCCACTCTTAAAATGCACACAGTTCCTTTGCTGGTGAAGCCTCATGGGGGGCCAACGATGCTCCCCAAATGGGCAGGTGTTCCTGCTAGCCCTCCTCTCCTGGGGTGAGTGGGCTCAGGTGCCATGACAAGTTAGAGGACAGAGCCCGAGGGAGTCTTAGTGTGGCGAAAGGACCCAACCAGTAAGGAGAGGGCCAGACACTATGTCCCTCACAGTCCTCCCCTTGAGGTAGGCACCTCCCCCGTGACACCTGCCTGGCCCAGGAAGAGAAAGGCAGCTGCAGGGAGGAAGCCAGGCCACTCGAGGTTCTGCGTGCGCCCGCTCAGGCCCAGGGTCCCTTTGGTCGTACCCTGTGACATATGGCTGGCTGTCTTGCCCTGGACTCAACTTCCTCCAAAGACAGACCCAAAGAAGGGACGGTGACAGCGCTCTGCTCACTGAGGTCATGTTCTGTGTGTCAGATAAATAAATATTTATAGAAAGGCCTGGAGAGAGCTGTGGGTGGAGGGCACTTTCATGCAGGGGCAGGAGAATGGGAGAGGCAGAGAGAAGAGAACAGAAAAGCAAGCTCTGAACTTCAATGGTCCCTGGGTTCCGGCCACCCTAAACTCTCTCTTGCGCAGTTTGGCAGCAGCATGATAACAGAATAGACAAGTCAGCAGAAACACCCGCCTCCCGCCCACCCCATGGAAAAATATACATTCCGATATTTACGTAATAATTTAGATAGAATAAGTTTTCTGCATTTGTGCAAATAAATTAAAGGAAACAATTTTCTTTTTCTTTTTCTTTTTTTTTTTTTTGTCCATAAAGAAAGAAACGGCAACACAATTTAAAAACTGGCAGGCTGTTAAAAAGAGCCCGTTTGACCTCTTACAAGCCCAGCCACGGCCCCTGGGCTGGGCTCGCGAGTCTTTGTGGAGAGAGGACCTTACCCTGACGACAATGACATTTTGTGGTTAAAGTGACTTGGGCGCACCCCGAGAACAGGGTCTGGTCCCACGTGTTCACACCGGGGAGTGAGAAGGGGGGACATCAAAAACAGACCACATCCTCGGCGAGACGGGCTCCAGGAGTAGCGGTTCGGACATGGGACATTTACAAGCACAGAGTCCACGAGAGTTTTGTTATTTACAAATACACAGCAGTCCTTCAAGTTTTCAAGTTTCATAAAAAGGAGGAGGGGAGGAGAAAGGAAAATGAAACAAAAACTGAACCAAACAAAAAGAAAAAAAACAAAGAACAAAAAAACCAAACATTGAGAAAAACAAAACGAAACAAAAAAACCCCCAGATTAACAACACAACTGTATCTCTCCAAAGACAACAGAGATTGACAGGTTCACACACGGTTTGTAGTATGTACATCTGCTTTTGTGAAAAAAATTAAAGGAAAAAATTTTTTTTTTTTTTTTTTTTTTTTTTTTTTTGTCCATAAAGAAAGAAACGGCAACACAATTTAAAAACTGGCAGGCTGTTAAAAAGAGCCCGTTTGACCTCTTACAAGCCCAGCCACGGCCCCTGGGCTGGGCTCGCGAGTCTTTGTGGAGAGAGGACCTTACCCTGACGACAATGACATTTTGTGGTTAAAGTGACTTGGGCGCACCCCGAGAACAGGGTCTGGTCCCACGTGTTCACACCGGGGAGTGAGAAGGGGGGACATCAAAAACAGACCACATCCTCGGCGAGACGGGCTCCAGGAGTAGCGGTTCGGACATGGGACATTTACAAGCACAGAGTCCACGAGAGTTTTGTTATTTACAAATACACAGCAGTCCTTCAAGTTTTCAAGTTTCATAAAAAGGAGGAGGGGAGGAGAAAGGAAAATGAAACAAAAACTGAACCAAACAAAAAGAAAAAAAACAAAGAACAAAAAAACCAAACATTGAGAAAAACAAAACGAAACAAAAAAACCCCCAGATTAACAACACAACTGTATCTCTCCAAAGACAACAGAGATTGACAGGTTCACACACGGTTTGTAGTATGTACATCAATTACAGAGGTGGCGACGCAGAGGGAAGGGGTTCACACTGTGTTTTCGCTTGTTAGAGGTGCTCGGCCACACCCAGCACCCACGTGGGCAAGAGCCCACATGCACACGCAGCCCCACGCACGGCCACACGCGCACCCCCACGCACGCTCGCACGCACGCGCACACGCACAGACACGCCTGCCGGCAGCAGGTGACAGGAGGCGGGTATCACCAGTCCGCGTCCTCCTCTATGTAATAATCAGGGGCGGTACCATCAAAGAGGCCGGGGTCGAGGGACTTCCGCTGCTTCCCTCTGGCGAAGACGCGGGAGATGGAGCCGAATCCCATCTTCTCTTTCTTCTTTTTCCGTTTTTGGTCTTCAAGATCCTCTAGTGACTGAGGGATCGGGTGCCAAACGGTGGAAGGAGAGGGGAGAAGAACAGAGGGAGAGAACCAGGCTTAGCGGGCAGCTCAGGCGGCAGACGGGCACCGAGGGGCGCGAAGTAGGGTCCTCGAGCAGTTACAAAGCCAAATTGCTAGTCTGTCCCTAACCTGCCGAACCAACTTGGGCCACTTACTGCATCCAAGGCTGTCACAGGATATCGCTAAAGTGAGGCTAAAGATTCTTAGGCCCGTGCCGGCGCCTGCGAGGCACCCGGCCTGGGCTGCTTTGTCCTCATTGGAGTTACTGAAGTTGCTACTTAAATTTGACTTGTCTACAACCTTCGGGGCTTGTCAGGGACTTGCAGGAGCATGCCCACATGCCTGGTCACTGCCTGTGATCATGTCTGGGATGCAAAGAGGCCACAGTGAAGGAAGGCATCCCTCGGCCCTGTCTGCAGTGCCAGGGCACGAGGCCCACGTGACATGGAAAAGGGGGAGGACACCTGGGCTTCGTGCCAGTTGAGAGAAAAGACCATCAGGCTCTGGGCAGAGTACTGGCCTCTGTGGGCTGGGGCAGTAGGGCGGGGAGGGGCAGTCTGGGTTCCAGTCCTGATCATGTCACTCCCCGTGGAAACGCAGCCCCTCAGCATCTCAGCCCAGTTTCCTGGGGACACCAACAGTGACAAGGAGATCTGCTCTGCTGTCGGGGGACCTCGGGAACTAGGGAGTGGTGTCTGAAGAAGGCTTCTCAAACTGCCAGGTGCTTTATGCAAAGACACGAGGTGGCCTTACCCGCGTGGGGTGGGGCTGAGCCTAGACTCCCAGTTTCTGACACACTTCCGGGTTCCTGAATTCCACGCCCCTCCTGCACCTGCGGGCTCAGAAGCTCTAAGACAAGGGGCCCAGGAGTGTGCATCTGTGCTGCCATTTTCCCTGGTGGACCCTGAAGTGGGTGGGGGTGCATGGACCAGCAAGGGGGACCCCAGGACCCAGCATGACCTCAGATGACCTGCTGCTGACCCTCAGATTCATGCTGTTTGGCCTCTTTATAATCCCCTCCTCACTCTGATGACAGAGCATCGAAAATATTAGAAATTAAGAATGTTTCTAGCAGCCCAGGGCCCAAAGAGCCCACGGCCTGGGTTATTAGCCTTTAACCGGTGGTGGTGATTTATAAAACTAGCTGCCTGGGAAGACACTGGCCTGGAAAGCAGGACAAAGGATGTGTGGGGTACTCAGGAGCCCCACAGGGCAGGCAGTGGACAGGGGAGAGGCAGCCCCAGGGGCTGAGGCAAGCTCAGCTGCCCTCCTGTGACTTGGCACATGGCTTGCCCCTCTCTCCCCCGGGTGCCCAAGTCTGGAAGGAGGGATGACCCAAGGATCAGGGAAGCAAGGGGTGAACTCCCGGTCAGGTCAGTGTGGTGGGCGGAGTGAGCGGCTGGGAAGACACACCTACCTGTACAATAGGGTTGTGAAGGTTCTTCTGAACTGGGCCGGGACTGTCGCCCTATAGCCAAAGGAGAAGAGGAAGATGAAACAACAGAGACACATGACACGTGAGAGCAGAGGTGGCCAGTGGGTATGGGGTCTTCTGTGGAAGGAAGCCATCCTCAGGGGCCACCCTGCCTTTGTAGTGGGGAACCTCCCCCACCTCACTCCCAGATGGCTTCTTGATGGGCCTGGAGCAGGGGTCCTGGTGAGAGGCCCTGGGGTGCTCTGTTGCCTGCCCTGGCCTCTCAACCCCCATCGCCCCATGAACAACAAATCAGTTGCTCAAATGCTTCTAAGTTCACGTCCCAACTGGTCCCTTACATTAGCACTAGAGGCTGATTATACTTGGGTTTTTATAAAGAAATAGATTTCAATGAAAAAAGCACAATAAAGACTGGGCCCATAGCCTAGTGGTTAAGGAAGCCAGGTCCCACATGGCCAACCACGGCTCGAATCTCAGTCTCAGCAGCGTGCAAATCACACTGGGCGCATGCGTGACCCAAATCCTGACAAGAAGCACAAGTGGAGGAGGAGCTGAGGCGTAACCACACCCCACTGGAGGGATCTTCCTCCTCCCCGAGTCTCTGTGGTGAGCACATGCACCCTCTGGCAATTAAAAAAGAAAGAAAGAGAGAAGGAGAGAAGGAGAGAAGGAGAGAAGGAGAGGAGAAAGAGAAAGAGAACGAGAAAGAGAAAGAAAGAAAAAAGAAAGAGCGAGCGAGCGAGCAGTCATAAATTACAGAGTTCTGGAATGCAAACAGACTCAGGAGACTGTAGCCTCTAGCTTTCCCCACAATCAACGTTAATAAATCTCTGATTTTGTGGAGGGGCAAGCAGTACTTGTTAGCCTGATTTACAGATAAATGGAGAGGCTCCAGACAGTCTAACATCAAGGAGCTAATTAAAAGGAGAGCTACAATTTAATTTTGTGACTGATTCCTCCTAGCACAAGGTCCTTCTACAACTCCAGCGCCCCTGCACACTCTGTCCTGAGCTCTGGGCTACCGGAGGGGCCCTACCCATGGGGTCTGAGCTCCTTTCCTCTTTCCTAGGGAGCCACAGATAGGCTTGGGGATGGTAGAATATATCCACTGTGTTGTCAGCCCCATCCCAGGTGGGCGGGGAGGGGAGCCTTAATAGTCTATGGGTGTGCAAGAATGAAGTGCCTTCATTACATCCCAGAATCAGTCTGCCCTATCTGGAAGCAGACTGTTCCGATCACAAAAGTCATTACTAGGGAGACTCCTGGTGGTCGTTTCTGGAATTGTAGGTATAGTATGCCCATGAAGGAACAAGTATGTGCTACCCATATCAATGTCCATCAACTCTCTCCAACCTCTCTGTGCTGAGCCTCCATTTCTGGTCTAAATTAGTGGCCAGAGTGGAGAAGATGAGGTGGTCCTTAGTCCAGGCTGTGATGTTCTTGCTGGCGCTAGGTCAGATGCCTGGGAACAGAGGGTTACCTGGAGCAATTTCCAGGCTCTTCCTAGCTTACCTGTGTGCACACCTGTTGAAGTGGGGGAAAGAGGGGAATGAGGAAGAAAGGAAGGGAGGGAATGTAACAAGTGGTATTTAGCTTTAGACACATCTCCAGGTTCGCAAATAATCCATTCTGCAAGTAGCTAAGATAGTTCTATTCTGGGTAGGACCAACTTTACCAAATTTATGTGTGCCAAGGCTCAGTTGGATAAAGGGCTGGGCTTATGCCAGATGCAATTCAAGAGGCCTTCAGAGAATTATTTCTGCAAAATGGATTTGTCAGCAGCATTTCTGCTTTCAGAGCCCCCTCAGGGTTACCACGAAAAGCCATATATGAACCCTGGGAGGGGAAGGTGTTCTTACTTGGGATATGCATGGACACTATAGGGACCCTGTGCAGGAAGAACATGGGGCTCTGCTGGCTCTGAGTGTGACACCATGGTGGGCCTCCAGAACCAGAGAATGGACGTCACGGGCCCCTCTGATGGCCCATCTCCCTTGCCTTCGTTATGTTGTTATGTTCAGTGCTGCTCTGGTTGCATTAAAGAGTTCTGGAATTTGCAGACTCAGAAGACCATAACTTCTAGCTTCTCCCACAGTCAACATTAATATATCTCTAATTCTGTGGTGGGGCAGACAGAGCATGCTAGCCTGATTTAAAGATCAATGGGGAGGCTCCAGATAGTCCAACATGGCCTTTGCCACCAGGAGAGGAACACACTGCTCTCTTAAAGCCCCAGTAAAAACAGAACTCCATCCTGAGGAAAGCCCGTGGGTACAAGCAACCTCCTCCTCAACCTAATGTTGGCTGTAAACAGCCTGTAGGCCAGTAATCCCTGCCACCCACAACACCAGACTGAGGATTAGCTATTTTTATAAGTGCTTTTCATTGCTATTGTGGGTTGAAAAAAAAAATGTTTCCATCATTATTACTCATATATAGGAGAGGCACTGCTCTTCATACATTGATTTTTTCAACCAGTACTGCTATATACTTGCTTATTAGTTCCCATAGCTTTTCAAACTATTCTCAAGTTTTCTAGGTAGATAATCATATCATCAGCATGTGATGGTTTTGTCTTTGTTTCCAAAAGTCACCTCGTTTCTTTTTTATTATTTGTTTTGCTAGTGAATAAAGCAACATTAACTGAGTTCTGGAACATGTACTTGAAGACCTGACCCTACGGTGGTTCTGTCTTCGGGACAGGGCAGGGAGCCCTCTGTGTTATCTGTGATGAAACAAAACCTCCACGGGGGGCTGGGCAGTGGCACAGTGGCCACACAGCGCTGTGAGGCTGACCACAGGGACGGCTCCCAGTTTGCGTCTGGAGACCTCCCTGACTTCACAGGGTATGTCAGTGCCCGTGAGCACAGGCTGGCTGAGGCTGGTGGGTCACGGTGGGAGCAGATGCTTGTCTCTCCGTCTTGCTCAGCCATGGAAGAAATCAGTAAAATGAACTTAAAAAAAAAAATTCGAAACGGTCCCTGTGCCCTGACCTCTCATGTTGGCCTCAACATGGTTTCTGGCCACCCTCAGACACTTGACCCACCTTCACTTACTCCCTCACTATTGGGGGTCTGTCTGTCTGCCCCACCAGTCATCAAGAAGCTAGGTGGCTGGGAACATGCGCCTCTTGGTAGCTGTGGCCAGTAGGCAATTAAAAAGTAGGTGATTAAATAAGCAAAGGAAATAAACTTAGAAAAGATTCACATGCTTCTCCGATAATACATGCCAGAAACTTACTGGAAACTTAAACAAAATAATAATGAAAGCAGAAAGAAAAGTCTGGCTCCCTTTCTGGAGGAAGGACTGAGCGCTGGCTGTACAGGGAGTTGGGGTGCTGGTTCAGTTTAGGACAAGAAGCCCACAGCCCGTCAGGGCCCACCGGGGTGGGATTCCAGCTGTGCAGACTACGGCCAACACAGACCCACTTGCTCTGGATTTTCCTCACCCTCCCGGACACAAGGAGCAAACAGGCCTCATTTCTTTCTCTCCCCACATCCATGGCTTCTTGCAAAAGGAAAGAACAGAACAGGAAATGCATTCGCCAGAGTGCTCCCTGGGTGGACGAGAGGAAACAGCGAGTATGTCTTCATCCCGCCCCTGCCCCTAGGGTTCTGGGCAGGGCCCAGGGCCCAGGGCCTGGGCCCTGCTGCTGCTGGCCTTACGTTGCAGAGGGAGTGTGTCCGGTGTCGAGGGGAGTTGATGTCGCTTGGTGTGGACGACCGGTCACCTTCGGCGGCAGATGCATCGGAGATGACGGAGGGCTGCCGGGAGTGGCAGGGGCTCACCCTGACCGCTGGAAAGGAGAGACAGCTGGTGAGTGATGGACAGAGAGAATATCCTCACCTATGCTGCCCGGTGGGTGAGTACACCCGATGCCCCATTAGACAGATGAGAACCCCTACATGTTCCCACGGTGCAGCTGCTGAAGAACTGCCTGCAGCCTCTAGTCCAACCAGGGGCCCTATGCAATAGGGTGAGGGAGGAAAAGACGTAGGAAGTTTCTAGAGATCTCATGACTGCTAACGTGCCCCCCTCGACTACTGCAGTCCTAACTGCTGCTGTGCTCCTTTCCCAAACGAGAACCCCGGAGCACCTCTAACTCCTCTCCTTCCCCTACGCCCCAGGCATCAGCAGGGCCTCGCACAGTTTCAAGTCTGTCTACCGCACTCCAACCCCACTGCCACCAGTCTCTTGCCCAGAAGACCACAGTGGCCTCCTGCGTGGGCCTTCTTGCCTCCCTTTTCCATGTCACAGCAAAAGTCACAGGCATCCTGTCACTTGAAGGGGGGTAAAACACATACTCCTCAAAGCCACTGAGGCCCGCCTCTTGTCACAGTCACTACAGAGTGACAGTGGGCTTCTGACCCTGCCCAAGACACGCCCCGTCCCTCCTGTCAAGGCCTTTACTTTCTTGCTGTCAGGCATGGCTCGGCAGGTCTCAGGTGTCCCAAGACAGGCCTTCCCCCGTCATCAGCTCTTCCTCCTCGGCCTTCTTCCCATCTAAGTGCGTGCTTCCTGCTATTTCTCTCCCTGTGCCGATGGCAATCTGTAGCCGTGCCGCTGCTGGTTTACGTGAGTGTCCACTGTCTGTGTGCACACAGACAGAGCAGCCACTCTGGTGTCTTCTCCATGGCGAGGCCCAGAGATCACACAGTCTGGCACATCGCAGGTGCTCAGTGAGCAGTGGCTGAAAGGCCCAGCTCAGAAGCCACAGCTTGGAAGTCCTCCGAGGTCCCCCAGCAGACGGCTGTCCTGCCTATAGGCACCGGCATAGGATGGAGACAGCAGGTCTGTCCAACAAGGCTGCCTGAGTGCCGGCGGTGCACAGGTAGCTCCGGAAACAGTCCTTGCTGCGGTGACCATGTGGGAAGAGAGCATAGCCGGCCTCTGGGGTCAGCTCTAGCCTCGGTGAGCTGGCCCAGCAGGCTGTTCCCCAGCCCGAGCCAGTTTCACTCCGTGAGATATGGATGTCGGCGGCACCAACCCCACAGAGCAGCTGTCACACGTCTGCTGCCGCAGTGCGTGGAAGGAGTTACGTGACAAACGCCTCAACAGCAGCTGCATGGCAGGGGAATAAATGCCTGGATGCAGCTGTGAGGCTCTGAACAAGGGCGACCTTCTGTGGGCCTCAGTTTCCCTGCCAGACAAGGGAGCTGGACTGACGGACTCAAGCTCTTTCATCATTCTGACTCTAGGCTCAAAGGCTAGAGTTTCCAACCTCACCCCATCTCCCCTTGCTGCTGGGATCCTGTGTGTCAACATCAGTGACAAGTGACGAGGATAATGACAAGCACAGCAGCTGACATTTACCCAGCACTTATCACGATCCAGCCCATTCTAGAAATTCCACACGTTTCACCAACACGACAACTTCCAAGGCAGGCAGAGGCAGTCTCAGCAGCGGGCACTGAAAGGGCGCCGGGCACTGCCCACCTACTGCCCATCCCACAGGGGAGGAAACTGAGGACACTGCCAAGGTCATGGGTCATGCCCCTGTAAGCAGCAGGGCCAACATTTGAACCCAGAAGTCTGAATCTAGAGCCTGTGCCCCCATCCCCCGCCCCAGGGACTCCCCTACACTGCCCCTACCTGTACGCTTGATAGGCAGCGGCAAGACCTGCTTCTCCCTACCAGCCTGCCAACCCGTCTCGGGCCAGGGCTATGTCCGACTCACCTGCAGACTCCAAAGGCCAGCTCTACCTACAGCCTCTAGAGTGGCGCGTTAGCTGCTGCCAGCTATCTGTCCCCAACCTGCACCTGTCACACAGGGCAGCTTCTTGCAGGAGGAACGGAGAATGGAGCCAGGTGGCCTGTGGCAGGACAGCAAGGGGTCTGGAGCTGTATCCTGGGCAGTGGAGTGGGTACAGACATTGCCCAGAGCAGACACCTGTGACGAGTACTTGTGCCTCTCCTGCAGGTCTTGTGATGGGCTGTCACTCACGGAGCTCTGCTGCAGCAGAGCTGCCCCTTTCGCTAGGAGCCCCATGTGACCAGGCTAGCCAATAGGAGCCTTTCTCTAGGATTTGCTGAGGATACAGGGCACAGAGGTAGTTTCTCTTTCTCAAGAGTTTTAAATTATAAGGGCTTTAAATGTCTGGAACCATTAGGGACTATTTTGGTGCCTTACAGAAGGAGGGGGGCCTCTAGATGAGGCCAAAACACAAGTGGGCACAGCCAAGATAGAGGTGGTCACTGAGACCTGAATACTGCGTAACCTCTGGGTTCAGCTATGCCTGAAGTCCGTCTTCTAGGCTCTTCAGTTACTGAGCCCAAGGTCTCTGCCCACACCTGCCTTAGGTTGTTATAGGGTGAGCAAAGAAGCTGCCTCTCCCTTGGGTCAGGTGGCCTCCTAAGCCCCTCAAAGCCATGGCTGGCCAGGCCAGGGCAGGACTCACCTTGCCGGTCTGCAGGGTGGGGCGGGTGGGAGTGGTAGAGTGTCTGTTGACTCTGCCGGATGGCTGCGGTCAGCGGGAGGTCGGCCTGCACCACCCACTCCTGGTTGCCATTGAGCACCGTCTCACCTGGCATGGCGAGTGAATGCCGCTTGGGGACGTCCTTGGTCAGAGTAGCTAAGGACTGCTTGGCCTGGAGAGAGAGTGGGAGACAGGAAGATGCAATCAGGGGCCTTCCTGGTCTGCTGCTCAGCATCACCTCGCCACGGCGAGAAGCCAGAAGCCCCCACTGCACAGGGCCTCACCTTTGGCGTGTG